GAATTAGAATCTCCTTTTAGTCTAGCTGTTTCAGTACAGTTAATGGCTTTAACTACATTTTGGGAGTCTGAAATTATATTGACCAGACCAGGGAGAGCTCGCAGGGCTGTAAGAACAGCTAAGATTTTAGCATGTTGTGCAGTTGTTCCTGGAGTTGCAAAGTTTATTTGTTTTGTACATGTCCCTGAGGGGGAGTAAATGATATAATGAGCTCTCCCTTTACTGGTGCCATCAGTGTATACCGTTGATTGCATTGGCTAGGGGTTTGGTGGCTGTGATGCAAGGCAGAATCCAGGCCTGAGAAATTAAAAATTTTATGGTAGGGTATTTGGGATAGTGATTGTCAAATTGTCCTGTATAATTACTAATTGTAATTTGTCATAAATAATTTTGTTGATAAAGATAGTCTATCTGAATATTGGTGAAGGGAGTAACTATGAATGATGAACCATTGCCAGACAATTGTTTGCATCTTTGCCTTCTCTTCATAATTAGATATATTACCTCTTGTATATAGGGTAGTCCTAGGGGGTGTGTTATGGGTAAAGAGCATTTCTATGATATTATTGGGCCATTGTATAATAGCCCCTGTTGGAGTAGTTGGAGTACCCCATATGATTGGCTGGAGGAGCTGACTGGGGTCTATCCTGTTGTTGAAACTACATTGAAGAGTGGTTTCAGTAAGTTGTATAGCCTGTTTTGCTTCTGGAATTAATTTTTTTAATTTTTATTGTTTTATTTTTCATATATGCATACAATGCTTGGGTCATTTCTCCCCCCTGCCCCCACCCCCTCCCTTACCACCCACTCTCCCCCTCCCTCTCCCGCCACCACCTTGATACCCGGCAGAAACTATTCTGCCCTTATCTCTAATTTTGTTGAATAGAGAGTATAAGCAATAATAGGAAGGAACAAGGGTTTTTGCTAGTTGAGATAAAGATAGCTATACAGGGGGTTGACTCACATTAATTTCCTGTGCACGTGTGCTACCTTCTAGGTTCTTTTTGATCTAACCTTTTCTCTAGAACCTGGTCCCCTTATCCTATTGGCCTCAGTTGCTTTTAAGGTATTTGCTTTAGTTTCTCTGCGTTAAGGGCAACAAATGCTAGCTAATTTTTTAGGTGTCTTACCTATCCTCACACCTCCCTTGTGTGCTCTCGCTTTTATCATGTGCTCAAAGTCCAATCCCATTGTTGGGTTTGCCCTTGATCTAATGTCCACATATGAGGGAGAACATACGATTTTTGGTCTTTTGGGCCAGGCTAACCTCACTCAGAATGATGTTCTCCAATTCCATCCATTTACCAGCAAATGATAACATTTCGTTCTTCTTCATGGCTGCATAAAATTCCATTCTGTATAGATACCACATTTTCTTAATCCATTCGTCAGTGGTAGGGCATCTGGGCTGTTTCCATAACTTGACTATTGTGAATAGTGCTGCAACAAACATGGGTGTGCAGGTGCTTCTGGAGTAACCTGTGTCAACATAGTCTTTTGGGTATATCCCCAAGAGTGGTATTGCTGGATCAAATGGTAGATCAATGTTTAGCTTTTTAAGTAGCCTCCAAATTGTTTTCCAGAGTGGTTGTACTAGTTTACTTCCCCACCAACAGTGTATGAGGGTTCCTTTTTCCCCAAATCCTCACCAACACCTGTTGTTGGAGGTGTTGCTAATGATGGCTATTCTAGCAGAGGTGAGGTGGAATCTTAGTGTGGTTTTAATTTGCATTTCCTTTATTACTAGAGATGGTGTGCATTTTTTCATGTGTTTTTTTGGCCACTTGAATTTCTTCTTTTGAGAAAGTTCTGTTAAGTTCACTTGCCCATTTCTTTATTGGTTCATTACTTTTGGGAGAGTTTAGTTTTTTAAGTTCCCTATATATTCTGGTTATCAGTCCTTTGTCTGATGTGTAGCTGGCAAATATTTTCTCCCACTCTGTGGGTGTTCTCTTCAGTTTAGAGACCACTTCTTTTGATGAACAGAAGCTTTTTAGTTTTATGAGGTCCCATTTATCTATGCTATCTCTTAGTTGCTGTGCTGCTGGGGTTCCATTGAGAAAGTTCTTACCTATACCTACTAACTCCAGAGTATTTCCTACTCTTTCTTGTATCAACTTAAGAGTTTGGGGTCTGATATTAAGATCCTTGATCCATTTTGAGTTAATCTTGGTATAGGGTGATATACATGGATCTAGTTTCAGTTTTTTGCAGACTGCTAACCAGTTTTCCCAGCAGTTTTTGTTGAAGAGGCTGCTATTTCTCCATCATATATTTTTAGCTCCTTTGTCAAAGATAAGTTGCTTATAGTTGTGTGGCTTCATATCTGGATCCTCTATTCTGTTCCACTGGTCTTCATGTCTGTTTTTGTGCCAGTACCATGCTGTTTTTATTGTTATTGCTTTGTAATATAGTTTGAAGTTGGGTATGTGATACCTCCAGCATTGTTTTTTGACTGAGTATTGCCTTGGCTATTCGTGGCCTCTTGTTTTCCATATAAATTTAACAGTAGATTTTTCAATCTCTTTAATGAATGTCATTGGGATTTTGATGGGAATTGCATTAAATATGTAGATTACTTTTGTGAGTATAGACTTTTTTACTATGTTGATTCTACCAATCCATGAGCATGGGAGATCTCTCCACTTTGTATAGTCTTCCTCAATCTCTTTCTTCAGAAGTTTATAGTTTTCCTTGTAGAGGTTGTTCACATCTTTTGTTAGGTTTACACCTAGGTATTTGATTTTTTTGAGGCTATTGTAAATGGAATTGTTTTCATATATTCTTTTTCAGTTTGTTTATTATTAGTGTATAGAAATGCTAATGATTTTTCTATGTTGATTTTATATCCTGCTACCTTGCTATAGCTACTGATGGTGTCTAGGAGCTTCTGAGTAGAGTTTTTTGGGTTTTTAAGGTATAGGATCATGTCGTCTGCAAATAGGGATATTTTGACAGTTTCTTTACCTATTTGTATTCCTTTTATTCCTTCTTCTTGCCTAATTGCTCTGGCTAGGAATTCCAGTACTTTGTTGAATAGGAGTGGAGATAATGGGAGAACCCTTTTGAAATGCTTTTTGTTTATAAGCTTATCTCTTCCATTAGGTTTTGATCCTAACTAAAGTTAAGGCCATGTCGAGTTCATCTACATGTTATTTGGGTGGAGTCTTACCCTCATACTCTCTCCTCTGTTCTACTTACCATTGTCCTAATCATAACTGTTTTTGTCCTTGACCATTGGTTTTTCAAGCCAATGTGACAGAAAAACTTGACAAATGTGGTTGAAATTTTTAATGTGGACAAAAGCAAAGTGAACAATTTTTATTTTTATTTCCTTTATTTTTATTTTAATTGTTCATATCTCTATAATGCACCAGAGAGCACCAAGGTTATCTTCAAAACTGCTGAGCACATTTTTTTCTCTGGCACTACTAGTAACAGTTAATTGAAAAAAAAAAAAGTTCCTCTGAAGGTGGAGTTCAGCACCATAAATTAAGCACATGTCCCTGGCTTTCTGTGATGGAAAATGGCCAACCCGTCTTCAGTTCTTAGCAGTGCTTTCAACAACTTCTTTCTTAGACATGAACAAAAATGAGCACCAGCTTTTCTTATGAGGACCAAAATTGTGAAAATCTGTTGACCTTTTAGGATTTGATATTTTGAAATTCGGACACCCTTAGGAATGAAGTTTTTTTTTAATTGAGAATCTTTTAATCTGGATTGATCTTGTATATACCTCCTATGCACAGAAAAGACTATGTATGTTGTTAAACTAGAAAGGTCTGAGTGAGGTTTTGCTAAACCACAGAAGGTTAACCCTAGCTTGTGTATACAGCTACTGATCCCTGTTGGGTGAATGATTGCATATGTTGCTGGCATATACAATTCCTATTTTCCCAACTCCTGTTCCACTCCCCTGACAGGAAGAGTTATGCTATGATTACACAATGATTCTCTTTATTCACTATTTCCTTCCAAGGAACCTAAAACCACATGACATTACAGAATTTTATTTGCAAAGTATATGAGATGCTGCTATCTATATATAGCATATACATAGTATATATAGCTTTTATCTATGCATAAATTCTCTGTGTAAGATTCAGGCCAAAGTGAATGGATGAATAAATAAATAAATAAAACTGTATTAACAAATTGGGATTCTGAATATATTTAAATAATTCTTATTGTAAGGCCTCTGTCTTCTTACCTGCCTACCAAAATAGCCATTCTTCCCTTTCTCTCAAATTAGCATAACCCCAATATTTAGCTAAGAATATAGCTACCCAGACAAAAAATTACATCCCCCAGCTTCTTTTGGTTGTGAGGACATGTGACTAAGGTCTGACCAATGAGATAAAAGAAATATTGAGAGGGACTGCTGGGAAGTCTCCTTAAATAGGAAGAGTTGCACTTACTTGCTCCTTTTTTTGGTTTTGCTAGAAACATGGATGTGATGGCCTAAGATATAGTCAGCATTGGAACACTGAGAATAAGGGCAATGAAATCCATATCCTATCACCCAATGGTAGAGGAATATAAGGAACCTGGGGCCCCAATGACTTCAGACTGCCAGGATGCTCTGCCTCTAGACTTCTCCATAAGAGAGAAATTAACTATCCTGTTTAAGCCACTGGTACTTTGGGCTTTAATTATATGAAGTTCAATCTAAATGTAAGTGATACACCACAGTAGCCTGGATCCCTAAATGTTTCACTCCATCTCTATTTTCTTGGTGGTCTTCATCACCCCTGAGCTTATTTTCCCTGTCACATTTAATAACCCACACACTCCTGGGTTAAGGGCACCAGTAACATCTTTTTTTTTTTTTTACTTGATAAATGCTGTTTATTTTTTTATTATTTTTTAGGACTTAATATTATATTTTATTTATTTTTAATTTTTTTTAGGGTTTAGATCTTTTCTTTCTTTTATTCATATATGCATCCAATGTTTGGGTCATTTCTCCCCCCCCCCACTAGTAACATCTTTAAGTTCCTGAAATACAGTGGCACTCTCTCTGACCCAAATAAATGGTTATTTTAGGGCAGAGAATCAAGTGTCCTTTGGATGGACTGATTTGGCACAACTTGGTTTTCTGTTCCCTGTCCTCCTGGAGCCATCAAGATGACAGGACAAATCAGTATGAGTCAGGATTTTCCAGAACTGTTGTGGGCAGGGGATAATTTAAAGAAAGAAATTGATGAAACTGTAGTATAATATATCAGCTACTAGGGCCAGAGAAGGAAGTGAGTTGTTGGCTGTTTAGACTGTGGAGGTTTCTACTTCTTGGGTCGGGTCCTTGTTGGAGAGATTGCCTGAGATATTGTCAGATTCAAGCAGCTCCACAATGCTGTAAGGAGAACAATCCTCCAAACCTAGCTTGCTGCAGAGCCAACCACAGAAGCCTTTCTCCATGTCCTGGGCAGCTTGCCACCATGCTCCCCAGGACCATGAGAGTTGGACCACAGCAGCATAGAGGCCTAGGGAAGAGGCCATGGCCATGATGAGCACAGGGTAGAAGAGAATGAGGCAGGGACAGTAGGAGATCTTGTGCCAGAAGGTCCTCTCCTCGTTGTATACAAGGAAGATGTTGTACCAGGTGATAGTGCCATAGTAGAAAGAGACAACAAAAGAGAGCATGAAAACCACAGGTAGGCAGATCAATGTCCAGAGGACCACATGGGGTCCCCGGTCTGCTCCTACCTGGCAGCCCTTTCTTCCTTCAGGAGTTGTGTCCCTTGACAACTCCTTGGGCTTGGTCAATTCCTGCAGCTCCTTCTCTGTCAATGTGACATGGATGTCCACCATCTGGCCCTTTTTCTTCCCTCGAGTGATGGTCCCAGTTAATGTGACATAGCGGCTGTCCAAAGGCATGTTCCACATACCTGCAGGGCATAAAGGAGGTGAAAGTCAAGGAATGAAGAATGGATGTTTGTTCTCAGTGCTATCCCCTGAGGCTGGGACTGAGTATGGTTGTCCTTTTATATAGCATCTGGCAGAGAAGTGGAGGCAGTGACTCAGTGGTGGACTGAATGGGTCTCCCTTGGAGGGCAACCACTATAATTACTCCCACAGTGAAAGTGAATTCTCACACCACACGTCTGGGCCCTGATAAAACTGTGACCCAGTTAACTTTCCTGTCTTCTGTCCATTTTCCTGAACCTCGATCTTGGCATGATCTCTGTGATATGGAGGGGGATGATGATGCTGTTTCTAGTTAACAAGTGCTGTGTAGATATTGTTTATCTGTGTGTAAAGACTATGTGCGTGCACTAGGCTGATGGACAGCCCAGTCCCTTCCTTTCTCATACCTAGCTCTCTGCTGACCTTGCATGCTTGTGGAGATCCCAGCTCTCAGATTTAAACTCTATATACATACTCACTACACACACACACACACACACACACACACACACACACACACACATACACAGCCACAATCACACCGCACACCCTGCCCCACCTCCGTAATACCTCAATCCAACACCTCCCACCCCCATTATACCCCTCACTACATCACATCCACCCATGCCACACCAACACACAAGCACAGAACACAACACACACACACCACAAATATACCTACATATCCATACCACACACATAACACAAACACTCCACATACCCTATATATACTATATCCACACTGCACCCAGACAACACACATCACACTACACATATACACAATGCCTACCCCCCCCGACATACACACCATGCAGTACTTACCTCACACATGCCATGCATTCACATCAGACACACTATATATGTATATATATATATCACACACACATTACATATACCCATTGCTAAACAGCAATTATTTGGCCACCCTGTAGAGGAGTTACAGACACTGAGACAGAGAAGTCTGTGGTCCTTGATATGTCATATGTAGTCTAGAAGTATGGGGCAGCTGGGGGAGTACAGGCTTTAGATAGGTGTATCCCCTGAGCCCTGTGTGTCTAGAAGAGTTCTTGCCCCACATTTGGAAGAGAGACAATGGAGACACCTAAAAACAAGGCCCAGGATGGTAGCAGAGGTTCTATCTGCCAGAGAAGATTTTACTGTTCTCTCCGGACCTAATAGTTTCACAGTCACCTTCATCTCAGCAAATGACACCACCTCTATCCTCATTTATTGTTCCTGTCAAACACTCTACAGTCATTATTCATTCCTCTCTTTCCCTCACTCTCTATCTCCAGTCTATCAGCAGGTTCCACATTACATTCTGATCTGGCCTCTCTTCTCTAGCTCTCTCCTGCTGTTACTTAGCTCAAGCTTCTACATCAGTGCTATTGTGGCTGCAGTAATACAAGTGTCTCCCATCAGCTTCCTCTCTTACTCTCTGCAATCCACTCTTTGTAAAGAAGCCAGAAGGATGTTTAAAAAATATAAATGATATGATGTGTCTCCCTTGATTAAAAGTATTCCACTGCTGAGCAAGGTGGTACATGCCTGAAATCCCAGCTACTCGGGAGGTGGAGTTTGAAGCCAGCCTGGGCAAAGTCTCTAAAACAAAAGGGCTGGTGTGTGACTCAAGTGCTAAGCCTTGGGTTCAATCCAGTGCTGAAAAAAAAAGTCCTCAACTTATTCCTCCTGGCAGTTATAACAAATTCCAAACCCTCTACTATGCCCTGCAAGACTCACCATGATTTGGCCTCAGCCTCTCCTGGCTCCTCTCACTGTCCTTCCCCTTGTTCTCTACAGAAATAACCCCATTCCATAAGTGTACACTGCTCTCACCTTAAGGCCTTTGCCCTGTCTGTCTACCTCCTGCCCCTGAAAAGCTCTGCCCACATCTTTTTTTGACTGGATTCCTCATTGCCATCCACATCCATTTAAATGTCACTTCTTCAGTGAGGCCCTCCATGACCACATAATCTTCTCCCACCACCCTACACTAATACTGGTCTTTCCCTCATCATGGATTTACTGTCTTTGGAACTTATACCACCGCTACGTGAAATTATCTTTTATTTGTTGATTTATTTACTGTCTGTCTTCCCCTGACTAGGAGGTGAACTCCATGACAGCACAGGAATTGCTTGCCTTGTCCACTGGGAGCACCTAATCTTAGACATTGTATTATCTACACAAAGAGAATCTCATTTATCCCTGGTGCCACAATATTCTTTAATACAGATACTCCACAGGTTCAGTAGCAGCAACAGGTCTTATACACGTCTTCTTTTACAACATAACGGTGAGTATAAGGGGGTGGGGGAGGGGAGAGAATGACTCAAACATTGATGCACATATGAATAAAATAAAAATTAAAAAAAGAACATGAGTATGATTCACAGGGTATGCATATTTTGAATTTTAATAAATATTGACAAATAGCCACTTCAAAGTAGTTCAATTTTGACTTGAGGTGTATGAGAGCACATAAAAATCCCCACATTGCTGGTATCATCTTTCACCCAAATATTTTGGGTGAAAATGGACAAAATGGAGAACACCTATTCATTGTCAACATATATGCCTTTTCCTGGTTATTATTAAAGCCAGCATAATTATTCCTTACCTTACACACATTAAGTAATCAGAATGGTTCTGCTTTGTGCAAACTAATTTTTGTAAATAAACCGCGTGGTCCCATACACAGGGGGTTCTAAAGGGTGGGGATCTCCATACCACCTAGACTAGAACATACAGTTACTAAGTAAAAACTGTTGATTTAATGAAAGTAGACTGCAATGCTGAGAGAAGGAGGTCAGTGAGCATATGACTGTCTTTCTCCTGGACAGAGGGCCCTCTTTTTTTTTTTAATTATTCATATGTGCATACAATGCTTGGGTCATTTCTCCCCCCTGCCCCCACCCCTCCCTTACCACCCACCCTCCCCCCTCTCCCCCCCCCCTCAATACCCAGCAGAAACTATTTTGCCCTTATTCTAATTTTGTTGTAGAGAGAGTATAAGCAATAATAGGAAGGAACAAGGGTTTTGCTGGTTGAGATAAGGATAGCTATACAGGGCATTGACTCACATTGATTTCCTGTGCGTGGGTGTTACCTTCTAGGTTAATTCTTTTTGATCTAACCTTTTCTCTAGTTCCTGGTCCCCTTTTCCTATTGGCCTCAGTTGCTTTAAGGTATCTGCTTTAGTTTCTCTGCATTAAGGGCAACAAATGCTAGCTAGTTTTTTAGGTGTCTTACCTATCCTCACCCCTCCCTTGTGTGCTCTCGCTTTTATCATGTGCTCATAGTCCAATCCCCTTGTTGTGTTTGCCCTTGATCTAATGTCCACATATGAGGGAGAACATACGATTTTGGTCTTTTGGCCAGGCTAACCTCACTCAGAATGATGTTCTCCAATTCCATCCATTTACCAGCGAATGATAACATTTCGTTCTTCTTCATGGCTGCATAAAATTCCATTGTGTATAGATACCACATTTTCTTAATCCATTCGTCAGTGCTGGGGCATCTTGGCTGTTTCCATAACTTGGCTATTGTGAATAGTGCCGCAATAAACATGGATGTGCAGGTGCCTCTGGAGTAACAGTCTTTTGGGTATATCCCCAAGAGTGGTATTGCTGGATCAAATGGTAGATCGATGTCCAGCTTTTTAAGTAGCCTCCAAATTTTTTTCCAGAGTGGTTGTACTAGTCTACATTCCCACCAACAGTGTAAGAGGGTTCCTTTTTCCCCGCATCCTCGCCAACACCTGTTGTTGGTGGTGTTGCTGATGATGGCTATTCTAACAGGGGTGAGGTGGAATCTTAGTGTGGTTTTAATTTGCATTTCCTTTATTGCTAGAGATGGTGAGCATTTTTTCATGTGTTTTCTGGCCATTTGAATTTCTTCTTTTGAGAAAGTTCTGTTTAGTTCACTGCCCATTTCTTTATTGGTTCATTAGTTTTGGGAGAATTTAGTTTTTTAAGTTCCCTGTATATTCTGGTTATCAGTCCTTTGTCTGATGTATATGGCAAATATTTTCTCCCACTCTGTGGGTGTTCTCTTCAGTTTAGAGACCATTTCTTTTGATGAACAGAAGCTTTTTAGTTTTATGAGGTCCCATTTATCTATGCTATCTCTTAGTTGCTGTGCTGCTGGGGTTTCATTGAGAAAGTTCTTACCTATACCTACTAACTCCAGAGTATTTCCTACTCTTTCTTGTATCAACTTAAGAGTTTGGGGTCTGATATTAAGATCCTTGATCCATTTTGAGTTAATCTTGGTATAGGGTGATATACATGGATCTAGTTTCAGTTTTTTGCAGACTGCTAACCAGTTTTCCCAGCAGTTTTTGTTGAAGAGGCTGCTATTTCTCCATCGTATATTTTTAGCTCCTTTGTCAAAGATAAGTTGTTATAGTTGTGTGGCTTCATATCTGGTCCTCTATTCTGTTCCACTGGTCTTCATGTCTGTTTTTGTGCCAGTACCATGCTGTTTTTATTGTTATTGCTTTGTAAATTCTAGTTTGAAGTCAGGTATTGTGATACCTCCTGCAATTGTTCTTTTGACTGAGTATTGCCTTGGCCTATTCGTGGGCCTCTTGTGTTTCCGATATAAATTTAACGGTAGAATTTTCAATCTCTTTAATGAATGTCATTGGAATTTTGATGGGAATTGCATTAAACATGTAGATTACTTTTGTGAGTATAGACATTTTTACTATGTTGATTCTACCAATCCAATGAGCATGGGAGATCTCTCCACTTTCTATAGTCTTCCTCAAATCTCTTTCTTCAGAAGTTATAGTTTCCTTGTAGAGGTCTTTCACATCTTTTTGTTTAGGTTTACACCTAGGTATTGATTTTTTTGAGGCTATTGTAAAATGGTAATTGTTTTCATACATTCTTTTTCCGTTTGCTCATTGTTAGTGTATAGAAATGCTAATATTTTTTCTATGTGATTTTATATCCTGCTACCTTGCTATAGCTATTGATGATGTCTAGAGCTTTCTGAGTAGAGTTTTTTGGGTCTTTAAGGTATAGGATCATGTCATCTGCAAATAGGGATATTTTGACAGTTTCTTTACCTATTTTGTATTCCTTTTATTCCTTCTTCTTGCCTAATTGCTCTGGCTAGGAATTCCAGTACTATGTTGAATAGGAAGTGAGATAGTGGGCATCCTTGTCTGGTTCCTGATTTTAGAGGAAATGGTTTTTTTTTTCCTCCTTAAAGTATATGCTGGCTGTAGGTTTGTCATATAAGCTTTTATAATGTTGAGGTAACTTTCTTCTATTCCTAGTTTTTCTTAGAGCTTTTATCATGAAATGGTGTTGGATCTTATCAAAGGCTTTTTCTGCATCTATTGAGATGATCAAGTGGTTTTTGTCTTTGCTTCTGTTAATGTGTTTATTAACGTTATTGATTTTCGTATGTTGAACGCACCCCTGCATTCCCTGGGATGAAGCCTACTTGGTCGTGGTGATAATCTTTTTGAATGTGTTGCTGAATTCGATGCCATTATTTTGTTGAGGATTTTTTGCATCAATGTTCATTAAGGAGATTGGCCTATAGTTCTCCTTTTTGGAGTGTCTTTTGCCTGGTTTTGGGGAATAGTGTAATACTGGCTTCATAAAATGTGTTTGGCAGTTTTCCTTCCCTTTCTATTTCGTGGAACAGTTTAAGGAGGGTTGGTATCAGTTCTTCTTTAAAGGTCTGATAGAATTCAACAGAGAATCCATCAGGTCCTGGACTTTTCTTTTTGGGGAGACTCTTGATTGCTGCTTCAATTTCATTTTGTGTTATAGGTCTATTCAGGTGATTAATTTCCTCTTGGTTCAGTTTTGGATGATCATATGTATCTAGAAATCTGTCCATTTCTTTTAGATTTTCAAATTTATTTGAATATAGGTTCTCAAAGTAGTCTCTGATGATTTCCTGGACTTCCATGGTGTTTGTTGTTATCTCCCCTTTTGCATTCCTGATTCTACTAATTTCTTCCCACAGCTTTCAACAGGGGGCCCCAGGGAGACTCACCATCATCCACAGGATAGTCTAGGAAATCATCTCCCTCCTCCTCTTTAGGCCGATCTCCACATTCTGATTCCTCAGGTTCCTCATCCGTTTTCTCATTATCTGATCGGTAGATGATGATAGATTCTGGTCGAGACTCTTTCTTTTTCTTTTTCCTGCGACCTATCGTGGATTCCCCATCCAAGGCCAATGCAGCAGCCACAGCCCTCCTCAGAGAGCCCTGGTGGGGGCTTGGGAGCTGGCCTTGGCCTTCCACTAGTGCTGGCTCTTCCATCCCAGTCCTGATGTCTAGCTGTGCCTTATGAAGAGTCTGACTCCTTGAGCAAAGTCACAATCCACACATCACCAAGCTTCTTAGAGGGGGCTGTGTAAACATGTCCCAAGGATATGTGCCACCTGAAAGATAGGAAAGCAAAGCCATCAACGGAGCAAGTGGGATGAAGTGGAGAAAGACCTGGGAAATCATCTTCAACTTGGCAGAAGCCTTCTCCTCCATTTACTTCTCATAACACTTTATTTTGGAAGCCCAGTGGAAGCCCTCTTATAAGAATAGTGAACAAAATATTCAATATTATTTTGTCATTTAATAAGTGTATATTACAAAAAACTCATCCATTCCACTGGGAGGTACAGAGTGTAAGGAAGTTGGTGAGGAAGGCTTACAGGCACATGGAGGTTAAAAACCAACCTTAACTCCTGCCATAGATGGAGATTAAGATGACTGGAACCAGTTCCCTGGACTTCTGGCTATGTCGTACGCACATTACAAAGACACCAGTGGATGAAAGCAACTGTGAGTGAGCCACTCAAAGATGGTGGAACTTCATGAGAGAGATCTACCTTGCTATTCTGTAAAGAAAGCCCATCTGTTGGCCCCTTGGTGACCCAAGCCCTCAGAAAGTTGCAGAATCTGTTATATCACGTGATGGGACAGCAAGAGAGAGGGTGCACTTTCACTCTCAACACTCCATTTTCTCTTTCTGTTCTCCAAATAAACAGAGGTGAGAAGAAAGGAGACTCTATATAACATCTTTTAGAGAAGCTATAGGTGTATTGTTTATATTTGTAAAATAACATTGGGATAATGTTAATTTTCAAGAGGAAAATTAAGAAACCTTACTTGGAGTTTGAAATATTAGATCAAGACACACACAAAAACATTAAGACTGAAGAGCTCTGATTTTAAAATCAGCTATCTCCCAGGAAGCTTAAGCCAATTCAGAAGGCTAGTCTGAGTATTGCTGCTAAAGAGGTATAAATTATCAAACTTCAGCCTGTCATTTTTAAGTACCTAATTGCTCATATGCTTTCTTAAAAAAAAAAACCTGTCATTATGGAAAGTTTCAAACATATACAAAGGGAGAGCCTTTTATTATGGAAAATGGCAAACCTATACAGAAGTAAGAATTGTTTTTATTGAATCTTCCTTGTACCCATCACTCAGTTTCAACAATAATAAAAAAAATTCAAGGCCAGTATTGTTTCATCATTGTATCTAAAAGCAAACCTCAGACACTCATCTCATTTCACCTCTATTTCAATATGTCTCTCTTACGTATTGAAATACAAACTCACAATAGCATTATCCCGTTCAATTTTTTAAAACAATTATTTAAGATCATGATTTAGTTCAAATCTCCCTATTTTCTTAATACTTTAAGTGCATTTGCTTGAATAAAATTCCAAATATAGTTTAGAGACTGTAAATGTATCCTATATCTTCCTTGTTTGCCTATAACAGTGCTGTCCAATGGAAATTTCTGCCAGTGCACCTGAAATGAGATTGGTGCAACTGAGAAACAGCACTTTTAATTTTACTGAATTTTGACCAATTTTAAGTCTAAATAGTTACATGCAGCTACTGGCTACCTATATTGGACAGTGCAGATCTATATGTCCACCTTCTAATTTTTTCCTTGTAATTTCTCTCTTTTTTTGTTGTTTTATTTATTTATTTTCTTTTATTCATATGTGCATACAATGTTTGGGTCATTTCTCCCCCCTACCCCCCATCTCCTGTAATTTCTTTCTTAAAGAATAAAGGTCATAGCTGGGTGCCAGTGTCTCAAACCTTTAATCCTAGCTACTCAGGAGGTTGAAATCTGGAAGATTGTGATTCCAGGACATCACAGGCAAACAGCTCCTGAGAATCTAATCAACCTATATCTGGGTTCAGTTGCACACATCTGTCATTCTACCCTACACGGGACACTGAAATTGAGAGGATATGGTTCCAGACCAGCCTGGACCAAAGTTTGCAAGACCCTATCTCAGCAGAAAAAAGCTGGGTATGAATAGCCAAGATGCCCACTATCGATGAATGGCTCAAGAAAATGTGGCATTTACACTCTTGGGGATATACCCAAAAGACTGTGACACAGGTTACTCCAGAGGCACCTGCACACCCATGTTTATTGCGGCACTATTCACAATAGCCAAGTTATGGAAACAGCCAAGATGCCCCACCACTGACGAATGGATTAAGAAAATGTGGTATCTATACACAATGGAATTTTATGCAGCCATGAAGAAGAACAAAATGTTATCATTCGCTGGTAAATGGATGGAATTGGAGAACATCATTCTGAGTGAGATTAGCCTGGCCCAAAAGACCACAAATCGTATGTTCTCCCTCATATGTGGACATTAGATCAAGGGCAAACACAACAAGGGGATTGGACTATGAGCACATGATAAAAGTGAGAGCACACAAGGAAGGGGTGAGGATAGGTAAGACACCTAATAAACTAGCTAGCATTTGTTGCCCTTAACACAGAGAAACTAAAGCAGATACCTTAAAGCAACTGAGGCCAATAGGAAAAGGGGAACAGGTACTAGAGAAAAGGTTAGATCAAAAAGAATTAACCTAGAAGGTAACACCCACGCACAGGAAATCAATGTGAGTCAACTCCCTGTATAGCTATCCTTATCTCAACCAGCAAAAACCCTTGTTCCTTCCTATTATAGCTTATACTCTCTCTACAACAAAATTAGAAATAAGGGGAAAATAGTTTCTGCTGGGTATTGAGGGGGGGGAGAGGGAGGGGGCGGAGTGGGTGGTAAGGGAGGGTGTGGGGGCAGGGGGGAGAAATGAACCAAGCCTTGTATGCACATATGAATAATAAAAGAAAAAGGAAAAAAAAACAAAAAAAAAAGAAAATGTGGTATTTATACACAATGGAATACTACTCAGCTATGAAGAAGAATGAAATCTTATCATTTGCCGGTAAATGGATGGAACTGGAGAATATCATCCTGAGTGATGTTAGCCAGGCCCAAAAGACCAAAAATCGTATGTTCTCCCTCATATGTGGACTTTAGATCAAGGGCAAACACAACAAGGGGATTGGACTTTGATCACATGATAAAGTGAGAGCACATAAGGGAGGGGTGAGGATAGGTAAGAAACCCAAAAAAACCAAGATAGCATTTGATGTCCTCAAGCAAAGGAACTAATGCAGAAACTTTAAAGTGACAGAGGCCAATAGGAGAAGGGGACCAGGAACTAGAGAAGAATTAACTTAGAAGGTAACCACATGTACAGGAAATCAATGCGAGTCAACTCCCTGTGTAGCTATCTTTATCTCAACTAGCAAAAATCCTTGGTCCTTCTTATTATTGCTTATACTCTCTCTTCAACAAAATTAGAGATAAGGGCAAAATAGTTTCTGCCTGGTAGCGAAGCATATGTGCATTTATTCATATGCACATATGAATAAAAGAAATTTAAAAAATAAAATAAAATATATCTTTAAAAAAAAGTTGGGTATGGTGGTGCATACCTGTCATCCCAGATATGGTGGGAAACTTAAAATAGGAAGATTGCAGTCCAGATTAGGCTGGGCAAAAACCAAGTCCCTATCTCCAAAATAGCCAGAGCAAAAAGGGCTGGAGGTATGCTCAAGCAGTAAAGCACCTGCAAGTGTGAAGCCCTGAGTTCAAACTCCAGAACTGCCAAAAAATTTTAAAAAGTATGTCACTTATTCTGCAGATTCTCACAATCTGATTTTTACTGATGACACCCCCACAGTTTGTTCCTCTGAACCAAACTTGTCCTACAAATTTGGAGTTAAATAAACTTATTCAGATTTAGATTGGATTTTTTGATTGTTCATTTTGGCAATTTTGTAGGTGGTATGTATTTTCATTGGATGGTATCTATATCTGGTGGACTCTTTGTGAAGTCAGTAGCCATTACAAACAATTGGTCACACTTATTAGTTCATTGGGAGTCACAAAATGAGTGTATCCTATTTCTTTCACTTCTTCATCTCAGCCAAAATAAATACTCTCATGCACTTTTAACATATTCAGTTTTAAACTTTGTGGAGGAGGCAAATGGCCTCTTATTCTACAATATTATTTTCATTTTATATGAGTGACCTCTGACCTCTGAGCAAACCACTCTATGCTTTAAGGTACAAATATCACAGCTTGGGAGACTATACTCTGATCCAATATTTCCTAATTAGTGCTTTTGCTTTTGTCTGTAGTTTCCTTCCCTAGCCCTTATATACAATGTGAGTTTTCAAAGTAGGAGTTGAGAGTGAGACATCAGGTAGATTACCTGTGACTTCTATATATATTGTAATATGTGCCAAGCTGTTCAGAGGGAGACAGGAATGTGAAATGATTCAGTGAGAAGGCAAGTTGCAAACCTTACATTTCTTGTTTTCTGTCTTTGTTGAGGGATAGGTGCTCTAGGGAGATGTGGTAGGGAAGAATAAACATATGCAAGGAGGTGAAAACCACTGTTAGTAAGCTTTATACACATGAAAATGTGCCATGTTCTAACACTGCTGACTTGGGTGGCCACAAGGGAGAGCAAATGTTAGATAACATAAAGAGCTTCCCAATGCAAGGACAGAAAAATATAGAATACAGAGAATAAAAGAAGCTTTGAAGTTTCTTGGGGGTGAAGAGAGAAATATGACCATCTTGTCAACTGATGGGGGTAGGAGACAGTCCTATATGGAGGTGAGAAGAAAGATGACAACTGAAGACACTATTAAAACATTTGATACAAAACATGAAACAAAGTGTTGGTGAGCTCCTGGTTATTCCCCTTAGAAGGCCATCCTTGGCTTCAAATACAGCCCTTTTTAGACAGTGCCTGGCCAGGGTCTACTCACAAAACAAACACCATCCCCAATTCATCTGGAAACATGATTCCCCAATCTGCCTAAAGTTAGAACATTACCTTTTGAGAATACCAAATGTTCCCAGAAACTAAAGAAAGGATGGATTGTTTTGTATGTATGGTTAAAAAGTAGTTTTTTACTTGTTTTAAAAAGTAGTTTTAAGCTTGTTCAATGGTTCAACAGCTTCCCTCAGTCACAGTCTGCACAGGCTTCTATAACTAATTATCATAGATTAGAAATCTTATAAACAATACA